GAGGTACAGATTACAGTCTTCTCCTAAATAGAAATAACGGTAGTGCAGCCGTGGTGTAAGCTTTGGGGGGGCCTGGAGTGAGAGCTCAGCTGGAAGCAGCTCCCAAGAGAAAGGGGGGGAGGCACTAACACGTCTTCCAACTCTTTTCAACTGCTCTTATCAGGGAGCCAGGCTGGAGCAGCCAACCACCCTCCTAGAAGTGGAGGGGTTACATTCCTGGCATGAACCCAGAGAGCTCTTCCTACGGCCAGGAAACGCCAGCACTTCCAAAGCTGAATTCCCAAGCAGACACTGCTCCAAGAAGGAGAGCCAGAAGGAGCAGAGGCTGAGGGGCACTCATTTTTTTCTCTTTCCCTCTTAGTCCCCTGTCTCCTTTGAGAATCCAGTGTGCCAGAGACAGAGCTATCAGCTATGCACCTACTTCTTCAGTTCAAGGGAATAAAAATATTTCAGAGGGATGATTAGGGACCCAGCCTCAATACCACCACATCAGTTGCAGTACTCACAGAAAAGGGAGAAAAATTTCTGCCTCCGCATGTGCCATATTCTGCTACTGCTCATAAAAGGATCATTTTACTCATTAAAGAGTGTTTTCAAGTTCCCTTTTCAGTTGTTTTTCCCAGCCTCTGTACCGTGCCTGCTGTTGGGCACACTCAGCTCTGGAAATGGTTCTGTTCTGGACAGAGATTTGCTAATAAACCTTGACAAAGTATGTCCCCATGATGTCCCCATGTACATTTGGGTCATTGCAGCCTGGAGTACAGAAGAGCAGTTTATCCACTAGGTGGAGGCCTGCAAATACTAATGGATGATGATCACTGCAGCAATTAAAAAAGTCAGCTGAGATTGACTCCATTCTCCTGATTTCTAAGGAAGGAAGGCAGACCCAGACACCTCTTCCACCAGGAGGCTTCTGTCTGACTCTGGAAAAACAGGGAATGGTCAACCAGCAATGTTTATTTTGTAAATATTAATTTAGCTTATATATGCTGTTCATAACAGGAAGACAAGGAGCTCTAAAAATCCAAGTTGTCTCCTGCTGCCTGTGTTTTGGGTTGAATTTTGCTTTCTCTGCATACAGATCACAGAAATTAAAGCTGGTTTTGTTGTGCTCACAAACAGATTCGCTCCCTGATTTAAGGCAGGCTGCATTCCAGATGGAAATAAAAAGGCAAAATAAAAAAAAACAAATATTTTTTGTGTACTGGAATTAGCTTCTGGAGTCAATCTGAAATTCGGAAATATGAGTATGTGCTTTGTGAATGCCCAGATTTAGTGTGGTTGCAGTGTGATTGCAACAGGCACGCCTAAAAAGCTTTTCCCCATTTAGACAGTGCACTGAGCACTTTAGTTTCTCACTAATGCATTGCATTTTCTATTAACGTTCATAGGAACTATATTTATCTATCAAATAACTTGCATATCATTACTGTAACTCAAATAAGCAGACAACACGATCAAGCAATGTGAACCACACAACGTCTGCACCAGCAGATCAGACCGTTTGGGGATGTCCGTGGGCAGTTACACTAAATTATGTACCAAACAAATATTGAAAATCAAGTCAAAAGCTCTCTGTAGTGTAAGTGGGAGATGAATACAAGGTTATCAGTTCTTTGCGTCTTTAATTTTCTGAAATACGGGGCCCAATTGTATCAGTGGCTCTTTTTGGGTCCTGTTGATACAAACAAGTCCTCAGTTCTGAACAAACTATGAAGCCAAACATGTGCACCTCTCTGGGTGTATTTAGCAGAGGATCCGTAGTTGAGACATTTTTGCTTTTAGCTGAAATGGTTCATGCACCGAGAGCAGGATATTCAAAATGCAGGCAGTGAATATTGAGCATTGATACTCTGGGTCTGGGTGAAGCATAGAATCATAGAGTTGGAAGGGGCCTTGAAACATCAGTCGATGGAACTCATGCTGGTCAAATTCATTATGTCCCTCTCCAATCTGAAGACTGAGAAACTCTGTGTGCTCGCTGCATTTATTAACAGAGCTTTCATATGACTCAATCTTAAATGCATCCAGCAGACAGCTTGGCCTCACGCCTGCCTAGAAATACAGCACTAGACACGTGCCTTACGCATCACTTACCCACAGGTTCATCAATAACAGCTTTCTGCAATTCCTGAGCCGGAACAAACACTTTAACCCCCTGTCCCTTATTAACAGGGCCTTCTCTGTTTGGGTGATCTGCCAAAGTGCCACGGGTACTCAGGAGGCAGAAAGCTAATTTAGAGCTCACCGCAAGACATGTTGTTTCCTGACACACCAGAGATATCGACTTGTTTATACAATGAATAACAATTATGTTGTTAAAGCAGCGCTGCTTCGTACAAGCCCAGCTAGAGCTGGAGTGCAGCTAGGAGGGAGCTCTCTGCGGCAGAATCAGCCCATTTTCAAAGCAAAGAAACACCCTGTAGAGTTTATTAATTGGGTAAATACAATTACACGGCTCCTAGTTGTATTGGAACATCCTGGAGCAAGTGCTTAGCCCCGTACTCCTGGGTGTGCAAAGCACTGGGCAGACAGGCACCCGGAGAAGTCAGGAGCGCTGTGTTGCACCTGTATGAAGAAGACAAACAAACAGAAAATGCTTCTTGATTATTTTCCCTTCTGAAATGGAATATATAGACCTTGAGCCTGGAGTCTCAGCTGAGATTAGCCAGACGCTACAGAGATTTACTTATCTCAATAACAAATTTTCCTGAACACACGATTTTTGCTTGGCAGTATTCCTGACATGACCATTTCCATAAATCATTCTGATCTGAAATAGGGCTAATCCCAATATGTGCCAGGAGCCCTATTGCCTCAGGGTTGCAGTTATGGGCTGGTGACATCACGGTACAAGAGAACAAAAAGTGACCCCCTGTACTGCTGTCCCCAATAACCCACCAGGCTGGGAGTCCTTTCTCCTTCACGAGGAACCAGGCTAAATCCTACCTGCCAAGGAAGGCAATTTAATTAACGGAAAAAACATTAAGTCTAGCCAACTAAATTCAATCACTAAAAAGCCCCGGCTGCTCTCTCTCCAGCTGGATGTCTCTCCACCCATGGGTTTCTCTCCTGCCGCAGCTCATGTGAATCCCCAAGGAATTCTGGTTCATGCTGATTCCTGTGAAACATTAACCTCCTCCCTTTCTTAGCAGGGTGTGCCCTCATAAAAATATCCAACCTGAGCCTGTTAGATATCCCTCTGAATTCTCCTTTTATTATTTTTTGACCTATTTGCTGACCTTACTCCTTACCTCTGCTCAGTACTGGGTTAGCTGTCAGGTGCCACAAAAGAGAGGAACTCCATTCTTCACTTCTCTGTTTACACTCTATATCAGCTACAAACCCCATCTGTATCACTTCCTCCACTCACAAGAGTAATTTTCCTGCAAGACCTTTTAACATCTGTGTCCCCTGTGTCTGAATCAGCTGCTTTTGTTGATTTGGCAGAGGCTCTGGCATATGCTGCAGAGAACATATGGCCTAAGCGTGTCTCTCTGCTGTGAGACAGAGTGAAATTCCTCTGCAGATCCCTACAGATTGGAGGCAGGAGAAGTCTCTGATGTTGCGTCTTTTGAGGCAACTGCTGTCATCGGTGATGCTGAGCAGAAGTCTGGTGTCACTGAGAGAGCATGAGGGGCAGCAGAGGTAGGAGACACATCCAGGGACAGGCACCACAGCCCAGGAGTGACTGTGAGATGCACCAGGTGTGTGCCTTGTGGCTGCAGGAAGCAGAGAAGTCAGTGGTGATGATCACAGAGACATCTGAAAGTGAGTGCTCTGGGGGCAAATGATCCGTTTACAACCCGTGTGAGTCAAAGGCACAGGAAACCCGGTCGGTGATGGACCACAGTGTGGTTCTGAAGGGGAGGGACGTGCAGGATGGGAGGGATGTGCAGGATGGAAGGGCTGCAGGAGTGAAGGAGCAAGTTTGAGCAATTATTAGGTTTGTCGGCATGATAAACGAACCCCACTCTGTCAAAAGATGAATGACCATCAGTGTCAAGCGCTATCGAGAGATCTTTGATCCTGCCCCAAGCAGGAGATCGTGACTGTCTCCAGAAGCGCGAACAGGCAGTTTTTTTCTGAAGTAGGAGATACTTTGGTAATAAGCATCTATCTCCGAGGAATGCGTACCTTGAATTCTTTCAAGCCAGTAGCTTTGCAGCAGGTCTGCACTTGAGGGACACCGAGTATCCTGTCTTCTACTTAAAGTAACTCCCACCGGGCATCTGGGGCTGTTGGTGTGACTGTCAGATGACCACAAGTGGTGTTAATTGCGACATACAGTTACCTCCGACTGAACACAGCGTGCGTGACACGCTGATACAGCGCCCGTGGAAAAAGAGATTATTTTAAAGCTCAGCGGACACATTTTTCTCCTTCAGAGGGATTTCTACGGGAAACCCGAGGACCGAGACGCGTATTTCCAAAGAGCTGAGAAAGTTCAAACCGGTTGACTCTGAAGAACAACGCCTGCCCACACCCTTATTTGGGAAGAATGATGCTTTTTGTTAGTTGTCAACTCTAATTACCTGCGGGGAGGAGCTCTGGGCTGTTACTCGGGGCTGTAGGACGGGGCTACCGGGCTACCGGTGGCCCCGGAGCGGAGCGTGTGGGAGGGCGGTGTGTTCCCGGTGTGTTCCCGGCGGACACGGCTCTCCCGGCGCTCAGGCTGGGAGGGACCGGGCTCGGAGCCGCCGCCGGCACCGGGAAAAGCCTCTCCGTGATTTACAGCCTTCCCGTAGGGCGTTGAGCCCCCGCAGGGGGAAACCGGGGACGCCCGTCCCGCTGCCCCGTACCCAGGAAGACGTGTCCGGTAACCCCGGGGTCGGCCGAGCCGTGCTGGAGACAACCAGAAGTTTCCAGCCGGCCGGTTCCTACGTTTCCTCCCTCCTCCTCCTCCTCCTCCTCCTCCTCCTCCTCCGCGTCCCTCCCCTCGTCCCTCCTCCGCCGCCGCCGTTTCCAGACACTTCCAGCCCCGCTCCTCCGCCCCCCCTCCCCGCCCCACCGAGGATAAAGCCGCCGGTCCGGCGCCCCCGCCCGGCATTGGGCAGACGGTAGGGCCCGGTACGGTACGTTTAGGGCCCGGGTAGGGTTGGGTTTAAGGCCCGTTACGGTGGGGTGAGGGGTTCGCCATGAGCGCCGCTGCGCAGACCCCCCCGCCGCCGCCGATGGAAGGGAACGCCGAGCCGCTGCCCCCCGGCTGGGAGATCAAGATCGACCCGCAGACGGGGTGGCCCTTCTTCGTGGATCACAACAGCCGCACCACCACCTGGAGCGACCCGCGGCTGCGGGCGGCCCCGCAGGTACCCGCACCCTCTCCCCGACCCCCTCCCCGACCCCCGGTCCCGTCCCGTCCCGGAGTTGGGGGGGGGCTCCCGGGGCGCTGCCCCCCAGCGCATGGCGATGCAGTGAGGGCAGGAGCTGCCTTTTGTCTCTGACGCACTGCAGGCCCTTTTTTGTGCATTAAATCATTTGATACCTCGGCCCTGTAATGTTTATTTAAAGTTGGTCAAGTCCACCCGGCCTGCCAGGGGAGACGCGGACCTTGATTTATTTTTCAGCTGGGAGCAGCCCCAACAATGAATGCCCTTAAAAAAAAAGAAACTCAGCCCGGAGTCTTACTTCTCCAGTTTTGCCCGCTGCCCCCCAGCGCATGGCGATGCAGTGAGGGCAGGAGCTGCCTTTTGTCTCTGACGCACTGCAGGCCCTTTTTTGTGCATTAAATCATTTGATACCTCGGCCCTGTAATGTTTATTTAAAGTTGGTCAAGTCCACCCGGCCTGCCAGGGGAGACGCGGACCTTGATTTATTTTTCAGCTGGGAGCAGCCCCAACAATGAATGCCCTTAAAAAAAAAAAGGAGAAACCCAGCCCGGAGTCTTACTTCTCCAGTTTTGCCTTTCTTTTTTCTTTTTTCTTTTTTTCTTTTTTCTTTTTTCGTTTTTTTATTGCTCTCAAACTATCCCAGCCGCTCTCCGCTCGGGTTTTGTTCTCAAGCATGCTCAGAGAAAAGCCGCATCTTCCTCCAAATATGTCCATGGAAGGAGAGGCGCGGAGGGGAGAGCCGTCGGGATTTTCTCGGGGCCCTTTCGGGTCAAATTCACTTGCTTTTGGGGGAACGGAACCCAATGTGGGGGGGACAGAGCCCTTTCACCCGCGCTGGCATTTTCGCAATGCCACGGCTGGAGGCAGAAAGTGCTGGAAACTTGAGCCCAAATCGAAGTCTCTCGGGGGGAAAACGATTCCCCCGGGGTTTTCGTGCTGCTTCCCCGCCAGCAGCATCGCTTCACCGCGGCTCGACCCCCCCCCCCC